CCCAAAGCCCACATCCCTGTCGCTCTGAGCCTCAGCAAACTAGGGAGAGCAGGTCCCTGCTCCATGCGGGGGGTTGAGAGGCTAAATACAACAACACCCACATGCTCAGCCACTGCCATGATGGGGCCAGGTAAGGGTCCAGACAGGGAGGTAGCTGGTGGCCAACATGGGCCATGTGGGGGTGATTAAAGGCAAATGGGAAGAAGCATGAGAGGTGTGTGTCATGGAGTCCCCAGACAATGCTCTGGAGCTGCTCCATATGAAGCCAGTCAGGACTCTGGTGAAGTCTCCTCTCTGTGAGCAGACTGTCTTCTGGGCCAGAAGCTCAAAGGGCTTTCACCTTCCTGGGTCTGACCTTGGAGCATTCAGCATCCTCTGCCCCTCCTTGCATTTCCCACAGCGAGTCTGTCCAGGTGGGGTCCTGGAGAAGCCAGAGGGTCCTGCACCCCCACTTCGCAGTCAGACGTGACTCTTAGCCAGCCAGTAAAACAGAGGTTTATTAGATGATAGAAACATGGTCTAAAACAGCTTGTAGGTACAGAGAACAGGACCCCTCAGCTGGGTCCATTTTGGGGGGCAGTGAGCCAGACACCCAGATCTGCACTTCACTCCTCGTCCCCAGCCAGCTCCAAACTGGAACTCTCCAGCCCCTTCTCTCTGGTCTTTGTCTCTTTCCTGGGCCAGGAGGTCACCTGATCTCTTTGTTCTCCAACACCTTTAGCTATCCCCTTGCAGGGGGGAAGGGCCCGGCCATTAGTTGCCAGGAGAGAGAGTGTTGGCCATTTATGCACACTGGCCTTTATCCCCACACCTAGAGACTTAAGAAATGCATAGGGGAAGCTGAGGCACCCCTACAGTATTCAGAGGAAACATTAAGAACAGTCCCACTTCGTCACAGTGAGGGAGTTGGAGAGTCTGTGGGAAGCCCCCTCTCTTGTGAAATCAACCACCCCCACACGATGCGGGCTGCTCCAGATCGGGGGAAGAGTCCAGCTGTGAATTTGGAGCCAGATCCTGGTTTGGATCTGAATCCACCGGCGCTGCGGAGCGTTCAGATGTGGGGAGCTAGCTCCCGCCCGTGCCAGATCACAAAGTGCCACTTCAGCCAGCCACCTGCCAGGCTCTGGCAGCGCCCTGTGTGGAGCTGCAGCTGGGCCCTCCAGAGCCGAGCTGCTACTCCTCCTCTCTGCTGGCCAGTCAGCCGCAGCTCCTCAGCACCTGCCCGCTCAGCCCCACCTCAGTGCTCCTGCCTCCCCAAATCTCCTCCCTGGCGCTGCACCTCGCCCCCTGCACCTGGCATGTCAATACCCAGAGGGCCGGGAGCCAAGCGTCCCGGGAGCCATCTGTAAGGTGCTGATTCCCTCCTGTGCTGGGCTCCAGCTAATCCATAAGCCAGGAAATGGCCTTGTGTCTCCCAGAGCAGGTATATCAGTCTCACAGCAGCAGCTCAGTCTGCTCAACATCACCCCCGGGCCAGGAACTCGCTCCTGCCTGACATAGGCAACAGGCCGAGCCTGCTCCAGCCCTGTTCCTAGTCCTACTCCAGCCCTGTTCCTAGTCCTACTCCAGCCCTGGTCTCGCTCCA